AGTGAGGGGCTCAGAGGAAAGGAGGGGCTGAGGTGAGGGAGATGTGGGCTCAGTGGGAGTCTGGACTTGGCCAGACTGCAGTGAAAGCAGTCTTCCAAGGGGAGGAGGCAGACAGCGGCGTGTGAGAACCGGCTGCCTGGACTTCTTGGTTTTTACTCGTTCCTTAAGAAAATGGGGTGGCTGGAACTACGTGGCAAGAATGTTCTAGACAGCAAATAGCCAGCACAAAACCACCAAGGTGCTTTTGCCTCCAGGAAACAGCTGAGGGAAGGGAGTGAGGAAGAGTTCATCGGGAAACGGCCTCAGCAATTCCCAGTAGGTGACACAGAGCCTCCAACAGCCATGAGTCACCTCTGCTCACCACGTCCCAGCTGGGGAAGAGGCCTGGGAGCTGTCCCCCTCCGAGAGCTCGCTGGGACTCAAGGGAGCAGGCAGAGAAGGCTCCCAGAGGAGGTGTGGAGAAAGCAGCAGACAGTTCCCACCAGGCATGATGGAATGGGGGCGGGAGGAGAGCTGGTTATACAGGCTTGTGAGCCCAGCACCCAGGAAGGAGGGGGGGGGGTCTGACCCCTCCTGGGGGGATTCGCCAGTCCTGCGTGGATTGGTCCAGTCCTGGCGCTGACCCTCCTCCTGGGGGTGGATTCGTCCAGTCCTGGCGCTGACCCTCCTCCTGGGGGTGGATTCGTCCAGTCCTGGCGCTGACCCTCCTCCTGGGGGTGGATTCGTCCAGTCCTGGTGCTGACCCTCCTCCTGGGGGGATTCGCTTCGTGCTGGCACTGACCCCTCCTAGGCCACCTGCCCGTCCAGCTCCTGTGTGGCCAGGGTCGCTGCCCGGATCTGACTCAGGGTGGGCGGGAGGCAGGGCACCGTGGGACCTGCCCTGTGACCGGCCCCCCGACCCAGGGGGCCACGCTCTCCGGAGACGCCCGCCCCAGCCAGTCACAGAAAGAGCCAAGTGTCTGGGGTGGGGTTTGGGCGAAAGGGCAGGGTTGCAACCAATCAAGAGTGTGGCTGGGCTCTTCAAGAGATGGGACTTGTGGGATGGGGTGGGGCTTGGGCGAAGGGGTGGGGTTGTAGTCAACCAAGGGGTGTGGCTCTACAAGAGGTGGGACTTGCGGGTGGGCGTGGCTTTGTTGTGGGGCGGGGCTCAGTGGGCTAGGGACGTGGCTTGTGGGTGAGGCAGGGTTGCGCAAGGGTCTGGAGCACTCCCACAGAAAGACACAATTCTACTCGCGCACCCTCGCGCCAGCCAGGTGCTTTGCAAACCGCTGGTTGCTTCTTTACATTGGCAGATGATTATTAATTATAAAGTAAATATGGTTAGATAAATGACATAATAAAGCCCCTAAAGGTCAGTCTGAACAGATTTGGTAAGGTCTTAGGTCTTTTTGGTTGGCACATCTCGGGATTTGTGACAGGCTTCAGCTTAAGCACTAGCTATGTGATTGCTCAAACTTTAGTTTTCTTAATGATCTTTAAGTAGTTGTTTCCTGTCAGCGTGTTTGTTGGTGAGTACAATGAGTAGTTTCGGGGGCTCTCTTCCATGACCACCGTGTTGGCCGGTGGGTGGGATGTGGTCAGCAGACAACCATGGGTCCAGGGCTCTGATTTTTCCATTCACCTAAAGGGCAAGGTTTGCACCAACCAGGCAGTTCCTGGCTCTGAGCCCACGCGGCACCAGCAGAGTGCACAACCACCCTGCCCTCTTCCTGGCCCCTCGCTTTGTCAGCCCATCACCAGTACTGGCGTTGGTGTAGCCTTCCATTGAGACAGCGAGCAGAGCAGTTCCAAAATACAAAACCCCAAAGAACACTGGCTCAAAGCAGAAAGAGTGTCTTTCTCTGTTGTACAGGGCAGGCTCCTTCATGAGCGCTGTCACCTGAAGTTCACCTGTGGTTCAAAGGGGTTGCTTGCCTCCAGCCCTCACATTCACGCAGGGACCAGGAAGAAGGATCAGAAAGAGCCTGTCCATGTGAGACCCTCTGCTTGTCAGAGGGTCACCCTAGAATATTATGTGAGAACTGGGCTCGTAGGGGAGCTGCATTGGGGGTGGCCGGGGGCCTGGGTGGCTTCCAAATGGGTTGGTGGTGTCGTGACAGTCAGGTTTTATTTGTATAACTGTTGCCGCTCTGGGCTTCCACGAGACAGGAATCACCACGAGGGCAGAGCCCCCGCAGCCTGGGCAGGGCAGGCAGGGACTGTGCTTCTGTGTGGAGCACCCTCTGGGTGTCCTGGGCCCCAGCTCTTTGCGGTTGCGTTTTCTCTGTGATGAGTGAGCCTGAGGGGCGGACGGGCCGGTCACAGGCAGGAGAAAATGAGGCTCTCAGCTTCGTGTCCATTACGCTAATGGTGACCCACTTTGTCTGCCTCACACTGCGCTGCCTTGAAGATGACAAGCTGACAATGACTCCCTTTGGGTCACCGCTGAGCGAGGAGCCCATTAGAACATGGGGTGTGGGCTCCAGCACGGCTTGTACCGGGAAACTGTCTGTCATCCTAAATGTCCTCATTTGTCTGGACAAACCTGGATGTGGGAACAGGAAAGCCCAGCAGGCCCTGGCCCAGCCCAGCCCAGTCCCCCCCTTACCAGTCCCTGGGCCATGGGTGCTGTCACATTCCAGGATCTGAACAGAATCCCCTCCACCTGTGTAAAACGGGGAGCAGTGATGGGGGACCCTGCTGGAGGAAGGGGGGGCAGGGGCATAGTTGTGGAGTCTGGGTATTTTGGGTGCCTTTCTTCCTTCTTCCTCCCTCCTTTCTCTCTTCCCTCCCTTCCTTCCTCCCTTTCTCTCTCTCTTTTTCCTTCTCTCTTTCTCCCTCCCTCTCTCGCTTTTCCTTTTCTGTTGTACTAGTACTAGGCTTGGTATTGTCTCTCACCGCTGGCACTCTGCCACTTAAATTATACCAGTCTCATGGACTTTCCTACCTGTATTGACTTGAACCATCATCTTCAGATCTCAGCCTCTTGAGTAACTAGGGCCACTCACGCCCAGCTCTCTATTTTGAGACGGCTACTCACTACTTGAAGCAGCTCCTGAAATCCTGGGCACAAGCACTTCTCCTGTCTCTGTCTTCCCAGCAGCTGAACTACAGTGCCTGCCACTGTGATGGCTTTGGCTTTGTTGTTGTTTTCATGCTCTTCTTCTTCATCCTTTCTAAACCCTACGCCTCCTCAGGGTTCACCCTCACTGCCCAACACCGCTGCTCCTGAACCTGGGACAAGGCACAGCTCAGATCCCCAGGAGCGAATTCCATGGTCTCAGGTGAAGCAGGTGTTCATCTGGTTTGTCTGCAGTGACACCTTCTTTCCAGTCCGAGACCAAAACCTGGGGCCTCCACGTCCCAGTTCAAAGACAAAGTGTGTTTGTCACAAGGACACTCCCACCCCATAAACCACCTAAAGTTTCTTTTGAAGCATAAAAAGAAGACAGAAAGAGTAGCTGAAAGATACAAGTCTTACTTTCTTTCCTTTTGTCCTTCAGTCCTGAGGATCTGAACTCAGTCTCTGGCTTTCAGGCTGGTGACCTACGGCTGAGCCATGCCTCCAGCCCTGCTTTTCACGGGTTCCTTTTGGGACGGGGGTTCCCAGCCTCTGGGCTTGCTGGGCCACCCTCTGCCTACTTTCAGGCGTGGCATGTCGCTGGGACCATGGGTGTGCGCCACGGCATCCAGCTGCGCTCCACGGAGACGGGTCCGGCGGGCTTCTCCCGTCCCCAAGCCCATGCTGCCATCCAGCGACCTCAGCCCCAGGTGACATCTGCGCCCCCCCAGTCCCCCCCCCCCCCCCGTGGCCCACGGGCTGCGCTGCGCTCACCCCACTAAGCAGCTGGGACTGCAGGGGACCCCCGTGCCCAGCTTTGGTCTGGTTTGGTTTTTCCGTTTCTGGAGGTGACTCAGAGAGGTTGTCTTAGAGGCTCGCGGCCTCGCGGCTTCGTGCTCCTCCCAAAGTCTGTTTTGTGCTTTCTTTAAAAACAAAACAACAACAAAAGTTCGTCCCAACTTTAGATTTAACATTTCTTTCTTCAAACCAACTAAGCGCCTCCTGGAGGAGGGGGATGGTGCACGGAGCTGCGCGGCTGGAGGGGGGGCGCCCCAAGGCTCATCTCCAACAGGGCTGTCCCAGCTGTGATCTCCGCTGCCCAGCTGCCCAGGGCACGGGTGAGGCCCCGCCGGGAGGATGTGGGGAGCTGAGCTCCCCCTCACCCCAGTCCGCCTCCGCCCTTCCCATCCAGGCGGCTGAAGCCCGGGCCGCGGCGGAGCGCGCCATTCCCCTCGGGACGCAGTGCCCAGCCCCTCTCCAAAGTCCCGACGTGCCTCCCCACGGGCGCCCAGCCTGAGCCCTCGGGGCCTGGAGTCCTTCCTCACCGGGCGTGCGTGCATGTGTGTGCACAGTGCATGCGTGTGCATGTGCGTATGTGTGTATAAGTGTGTGAGCATATGTATGTATGTGCGCACGTGCGCGCGTCCCCAAGTCCCCAGCGCGGGGGCCGATGCATCCCCACCGGTGACCGGGTCCTGTGACCCGGGGCCCCGAGCCGGGGAGGGCGGAGGCCGCCACCCGTTCCGGGCCAGGCGCCTTCCCCTGGGCGGCACAGGGCGCTCTGACCGCGGAGAGGCTCTTGTGGGGGTCCGGGTCCCCACCCCCCCGCCATCCTCGGGGTCTCCCCCGCCATCCTCGGGGGCCTGGGTCTCCCTCCCCCCCCCCCCCCGCCATCCTCGGGGACCGCGGGGACCCACGCCGGGCCAGGCTCTGCCCTGCAGGACGGCTACGTCCGGCGCTGGTGGCGTCCGGGCCCCGCGGGCCGAGGCGGCGGGGGGGGGGGGGGGGGATGGGGGGAGGCGGCGCGGGCGGGGGCGGTGACGCGGACTCCGCACCGATAAATAGCGGCGGCGGTGGCTTGGCCGCGGACGCTCGGGACCCGCACCTCGCCCGCCGGCCATGTGCTGAGCGCCGCCTGCCCGCCCGGCCACCGACGCCTGCTCCGCCACCGCCCCCGGCCCCGCCGCGCTCCGCCCCGCGCCGCTCACGGTACCCGTGCCCCGGCCCCACCGCCGCGCCCGCATCGCCCCGCATCGCCCCGGCCCCACCGCCGCGCCCGCATCGCCCCGCGCCCCGGCCCCACCGCCGCGCCCGCATCGCCCCGCATCGCCCCGGCCCCACCGCCGCGCCCCGCATCGCCCCGCATCGCCCCGGCCCCACCGCCGCGCCCGCATCGCCCCGCGCCCCGGCCCCACCGCCGCGCCCCACCCCGCCCCGCATCGCCCCGCGTTACCCCATGCCCCGTGCCCCGCAGATGGCCCGGGTCCGCGCGCTCCTGCTCGCCGCGCTTCTGCTCGCCGCCGCCCTGTCGACCACTACGGGGCTCGGGACAGCGGTGAGTGCGGGGCGCGCGGAGCGCACGGACGGCCACGGACGGCCGCACCTCGGGAGAAGGCGGCGGGAGAAAGGGTCCCCGCGCCGCCGGAGCGCACGGCGGGTCCGGGAGGGACGGGGGCCGACGGCGGGACGGGGCCGGGAGCGCGCGGGGGGCGGAGCACGCGGGGCAGAGCACGCGGGGCGCGGAGCGCGCGGGGCCGACGGGGCCCGGGGCTGGCGGGCTGGGCCCCACCGAGGGGAGCGCGCTGCGCGTCCGCCTCGGCCGCCCCGCCGCCCCGCCGACCCCTTCCTTGTTCCCCGCCCAGGCCAAGGAGAAGCGGGGCTGGACCCTCAACAGCGCCGGCTACCTCCTGGGCCCCCGTGAGTGCCGCGGGCCCCTCGCCCCCCTCTTCCTCAGCTTCCCAGGGGCCCGGGGCCTCCCGGCTGCTGCCCACCAGGATGTCCGCACGCTGCGCTGCACATTTGACCCGAGCACCTGTTCCAGAAGCTTCCCCGCCTCTTAGTGGGGTCCCTCCAGGCTTTGCTTCAGCCTCCCCCGCCCAACACCGGGGCCACGCTGCTCCCCGAGCCCCCCGAGCGCCCCGGAGCCCATCGAGTGACCCGAGACCAGACCGGGCCCCTCCCGAGCCCCGGGCCGACCGGCCTCTGCGCTCCCCCAGGGTCTCCGCTTCGTTAGGTGGAGCAGGACCTAGGCGTGGAGGGAACCAGGGCAGAGGGCAGAGGGCAGGGCAGGGGACAGAGGGCAGAGGGCAGAGGGCGGGGCCGCGGTCCGTGTCCAGTGGGGCCCGCGTCTGGCTGGCCTGGGCAGTGGTGTTTGATGGTAACTGTCCCGAAGTAGCCGGCTCTCCACGGTGGACGGGTGCATTCAGGTCTGGACGGCCACCCCTAAAATTGCCCCTGCCTCCATGCGCCCAGCGCACAGTCTCCCTCCTCCTCACCCCCCAGCAGAGGGGCCGCTCAGTGGTGTGGAGGTGACCCAGAGCGGCAGCAGGGCCCTGCTGTCCTGCTGTCCTGCTGTCCTGCTGCCCTTGCAGGTGGCCTGAGGTCCACACACTGTCCCCAGGCCCCACAGGAAGAAAAGAGCGCCCCCCAATCCTGACCCCGAGACGTTGTGGCGTCCGGGCCTTGCCCTCTGCCCGCACCCCCCCATCGCCATTGCTGTTCTCTGGGCGCGCATTCTGGCTCTTTGTTCCCTTGTTTTGTGAACTCCACTTGGCTTTCCCTCTCAAGGCTACCACAGCCCCCCAGGGGTGTCTGTCCCTGTTTGCACACAGCCCCCTCCCTCCCCTCCCTCCTTCCTCCCTCCCTCTTCCTCTGACTCCAGTCCACCTGTTCTTTGGGGGGAAAAAAAAAGTCTAGTTCCATCACAGTTCACAGTTTTTGAGCTCCTGCTTGTTTTCGGGGTTGCGGGTCCCCACCCTGTGGTGGTTCTGGGTGGTCCGGCCCGCGGGCTCGGCTGGGGTCTCCACAGGGGCAGAGCCAGTGGCAGCAGCCAGACTCCACCCTCTCCGCAGATGCCGTGGACAGCCACCGGTCATTCAGTGACAAGCAGGGCGTCACCGGCAAGAGGGAGCTGCAGGCGGAGGCCGGGGCGGCAGCGGAGGCCGGGGCGGCAGCGAAGCCCGGTGAGGCCCAAGCTACGGCCGCCTCACCACACCTGCGGCCAGGGTGGAAGCAGCGAGCCCGGGGGGCGAGGGCCAGGGAGCGGACCACGGTGCTCCCCTCCTCCGCAGGCTGTGACAGGCGATCTTTCTGTCCCCCAGGGGGCTACGACCGCGCTCTGCCTGAGAACAATATCGTGCGCACCCTGGTCGACTTTCTGACTTTCTTGCATCTCAAAGGTTCGTGGAAGGGTCTGGCATGGGGGGTGCTGGGGCGGAGGGGACCCACGGCAGAGCGTGGTGGCACCCAGCGCCGCTGCAGAACGGGGGCGGGGGAGGGATGAGATTTTATTTTTTAATGGAAGGGTTGCAGAAGACCCTCGGGGAGGAGCAGACCCCTGCCGCCGCCCTGCGTGCCAGCCACACCTCCTTCCCAGGGGAGGGAGCTCTGGGACAGGGCTCTCTCCTGGCCCACATTTGGGCCTGGTGACCCCACTGCCCAGCCAGGTTCTTTGGTGGCCGTGTGGAACTGCGTTCTCTACCTGGCCACCCACGGGCTGGATCTCAGCGCACAGGGGCTTTTCCAGAAGCTTCGGGCAGCCTTTGAGCCCCAGTGAGCAGGCTCTGGTCCTGGACAGTCTTTGACCCCCACAGTCAGCGCCTGTGGTGGAGGGATCCCTGAGACAGGGCAGCAGCCAGCACTTGGAGGCCGGGCCCGGCCCGGGAACCCCGCTGGCATGGAATTGCCACTGTCCCTCCAGCAGGCATTGGCTGACAATGTGTGCCGGTCAGTTTTCTGGTGGTTTGGCAAAGTCCTGCTGGCTCTTGGCATCTCTCTCTCGGGTGGCTCTCATCAGCGGCCAGCGGGCACCACAGCTCTCCCTGACTTGGCTGAAGGACTTGGGTGCATGTAGGGGAGGGGCTTAGGGGCCCCCTTGGGGGGGCCCAGCGCGGGGGGAGTGGAGTGCTCCTGCAGCGGCAGGCTGCTCCGTTTGTCATCGTGTGAGGTGGAAGTCTTTCCGCCAGGAGACGTGGTCATTACTCAAGCAGGTGCTTTGTCAAAGCGCCACTGAGGACTGAGGCTCAGCTGTGTCAAGCAGGATTGAGTCATTTGAACTGGGGGTGGAGGGTGCTGAGCTAAGTTAGGACAGAATCCTGGGCTCTGGAGAGGAGATCCCCTGGATTCCAGCATGGGGTGCTGGGTGCGGGGTGCTGGGTGCAGGGTGCGGGGTGCGTAGTGCGGGGTGCTGGGTACAGGGTGCGTAGTGCGGGGTGCTGGGTACAAGGTGCATAGTGCGGAGTGCTGGGTGTGGGGTGCTGGGTGCGGGGTGCTGGGTGCTGGGTGCGGGGTGCTGGGTCCAGGGTGTGGGGTGCGGGGTGTAGGGTGGGTGGCATGTAGCTCTGTGGAACTTGCCACCTACGTGCGCTCCTTTGCTCTCCAGAGGCTGGGGCCCTCGACAGCCTGCCTGGCCTGCCCTGGGCCGCGTCCTTAGAAGACCCCGAAGACCCTGAATAGCCCCAAGCTGCGGCTGCCGCCCTGGCCACGCCCACCTGTGTGGCGTTCAGAGCCACGCTTGAAGATGACACTCGCCCGTCCATCCCTCTCCTCTGCTTTGTTTTTGGTTTGGGTTTTGAGTGATAAATAAAAACCAGCAGCTATTTGAGTGGTCTGGCTCTTGCAGCAGCAGCAGCAGCAGCAGCAGCAGCAGCAGCACAATGTGTGGAAGAGACACACCTTGTTGAGGGTTATAAATCATTTTCTGTGATTATGTTTATTTTTTGTTGGTTGTGGGGCTTGAACTCAGAGCCTGGGCGCTGTCCCTGAGTTTCTTTTGCTCGGGGCTGGCATGGCGCCACTTCCGGCTTTTTCTGCATAGCTGATTGCAGGTGGGACTGTCACGGACTGTCTTGTCCTTGCTGGCTTCCAGCAGGGTCGCCTGCAGGTCAGCCGAGCTCACCATGCGCTATCTTCCTAACAGAAGACTAGTGTGTGGCCGCCACGAACAAAGCACACAGGCGAACGGTGCCTGGAGGTGCAGGTGCTCTGGGGTGTGGGGGACAGAGGAGAGGGTGAGCCGAGCGGCGGGGCTTGAGAAAAGGCCAGGCAGGGCCATGCGGTGCGCAGGGGTGAGGGGAGTGGGGACAGTCCACAGACGGGCCAGTGCTGAGGAAAGCCAAACAGCTCCACTAAGTTAGCGAGGCCTGGCTCGCTTGCCTGGGGAGCAGTGCCCGGCCTTTTCTCCGTTGTCCTCGGGGCAGAGGACTGGCTGTGTCTGCAGGCAACACTTCCTAGAGCAGAGTGGGGAAGACGCCAGGCCAGGTGACCCAGCACAGCACCCCCCCATCCCCCGCGACGGAGCAGCCCACGCGCACAGTAGATCCCCATCCTGCCCAGCCCTTGCCTCTGCATAGTGAGGCTTGCGGGCTCCAGACCTGCCTTCCTCCTCTCATGGCCTAGGAGCTCCGCCCCATGTCAGGAGACTGCTTCCTCTGCCAGCCCAGGCCAGCAGCAGCTGCTTCCCCGGCCCAAGCTGTACCGCGCCGTGTCCTTCCTGCCTCATTCCTGTCCCTGCTCAGCCCTAGCTCCGGATCCTCCAGACCTGCCCCTGCCCGGCCTCCAGCCTGTGCACGCCTCTCCAGGGCTGGCAAACTCCAGTACACCCCACAGGGCCCAGGCCAGTGCCGCATGCGAGGGTCCCCCTCCTGCCCCCTGCCCCAGCGCGTGGGGCGCCACCCTAAGTAGGCGCTCAGTACCTTAGTGGCTGCCAGTCTGCCTCTCTTTACCTCGCCCCCAAGGAGCTGCCCTGGGGATCCCCCTGATCATGCCGTCACCTCTCCTCCAGACTTTCCCTCAAGGACTGGGTGAAGAAGGGGAGGTGGCAGCATCTACAAGGGGGGGAAGGCGCGAGGGGGAGGGGGCTGCCAGCAAAGGGACGGAGGAGGGGATGATTCTCAGGAGAGGGTGGAAGGTGGTCCTCGGCTTCCACGCTGACTGCAGCCCAATGGACAGGTCGGGTTCTGATGAGGCCATGCCACAGGCCCGCCATCAGCTTCCAACCTCAGACTCAACCCAGAGTGGACTGAAAATATCCAGGGGAAAAATGCATACCTGGCATGGTGGTACATGCATGTAATCCCAGCACTCAGAAGACTGAAGCAGGGATGTCAAGTTCAAGTCCTGCCTGGGCTTTGTTTCAAAAGTCCAAAGGTGTAATAATAATAATACATGGTCTGTATTTCCAACTACGTGGGAGGCTGAGATTGGTTGGGTGAGATTTGAGGTCAGCTCACACAAAAAGTTAGTGAGACCCCATTTCAACTGATAGTGGGCAGAGTAGCACATGCCTGCCATCCTAGCTACTTAACAGGCATAAATAGGATGGTAGTCCAGGCCAGCTCAGGCTTAAACATGAAACCCTATTCCAAAAATAACTAAAGGAAAAGGTCTGGCCAAACCTAGTTAACAGGAGAGGCATGTGGCTCAAGTAGTAGAGTGCCTGCCTAGCAAGCACTAGGCCCTGAGTTCGACTCTCAATATAAACCAACAAAAATAAGTAGAAAAGTACAAGTGTGTAAAACTGCTCATGTAGCACGTACCTTATGCTAGCACTGGAAAATATCTGGAGATGAGTGGAGTCCCGGCAGGATGTGCCTCTGTCTCAGGCAGCACCATGCTGTTTTCTAGAAGGCACCGGGGCAGCTTGGATTCTGGTGCTGCTGGGGGGAGGAGTCCCGGGCTGCCCTCACGTCTTTTGAGCGACAGCTGCATCTGTCTTCACCTAGGCTTCTGCTCAGAACCTGTTTTCCAACGGGCTGAAGAGGGACTGCAAGCGCAGGGGCCGGGCTGCAAGTGCAGGGACCGGGGTGCAAGCGCAGGGACCGGGGTGCAAGCGCAGGGGCCGGGCTGCAAGCGCAGGGACCGGGGTGCAAGTGCAGGGGCCGGGCTGCAAGCGCAGGGACCGGGGTGCCGCTCCTGCTCAGCAGCAGGCTGTTCCAAATCGGCTCTGCGAGGCCAGCTTCCCCACACGCCCGCACCTGCGGCCGCGGCCGCGGCGTCTCCTTCCTCTGGCCTCTCTGTGCCCCAAGCAGCCGACATTATTTTAATCAACACAGAGACATGGCAGAACACTATGTCAATATATTTCAGGGGAGCTATAAGATAAATACATTCTCAGTCACCAAGTTAATTACATATTCACTTAGCATAGAACCAAAAAAGTCAACATAATACGTAACCTTTCCTGCTGTCTCTACGAGCTAGTTTAACCATATTTTACAAGTACTAAGAATATCGGAACAATAATTATGGAGCTTTCCCACAATTCATGTACAAACATGCAAGAAACTAGACACAATCTGAAGCCCCAAAACGCTGCACTCCTGATGAGAGCCTCCCTCCCCCCCCCCACTCCAGGCCCCAGGGAGCCTGACAATCCCGTGACTTGGCGGGAGACATCTCTACTGCAGAAATTTCTTGGGGTGCTCCCTAGAGGTTTCAAGTTGTATCATAACACCCATCTGGAGAGTTTATTTCTAACCAATCTGAAAAACAAAGGTCAACAAAAACAAAGAAACCAGCCCAGTTTGCGAGCTGGCAGGCCGTGCGAGGCTGGCTCCAGCCTGACTTGCTCCCCGCTCACGGGCCACGTCCAGCCTCCACCATGACAGGAGTTCCCTCCCCTAGCTGTCCGTGGACTTCACCCCCGGCCTGGACCTGAGGGAGCACTAAGTAGCCTCTCTAGGCTGCCCAGAAGAACTTGGTCCTAACTGTGGCTAAGCCCTGGCCCCGGCTCCTCCAGGCCGCCATGCCCATGCTGAGGCAGAGCCTGCAAGCATTCACACTCCCCCCTGTGCATTCTACTCCATTTTCAAGCCCTTGGATTTGAACTCGATGTGGAGAATCTGGGACAAGCACCTTCCGAACTCCTCCAGGATCTTCTGCTCGGCCAGGCACTCGGAGCAGTGCTCCTTCTCCGCCTCCTCGCCTTGAGCCAGCAGGCAGGCGCACGTGGCCTCCACCACCTCCCAGGAGATGCAGGAGGAGGGCCGCCTGTGGGAGAGACGGCCACCGTCCTTACTGTCCGTGGGACACACGGCTCCCGGGGGTAGGGGACCGCAGAGCCTCAGGCAGCTGAGCCTCAGTGTGTCTCATGTTCCAATACACGGAAATGCATTCATTAATGACAGCTGGCGCTTCAATACGACCCATGACAAGGACCTCCAAGAAACTGTTTAAATCAAGTCTAATACCAAGGAAAAATACCACTCAACCTTCAGGACCTGCCTGGGTTATAACACAGCTTCAAAACCAGGAGGGGACCTGTGTCAGGGCACTGTGGCTGCACTCGGTGAACCAGGCTGGGCAGTTGCTGCCTGAGCCAGAGACGCTCTGCTCGCTCCATTTGGTCTGCACCAATGGGCGTCTCCAACAGAGGATCGCAGGTCAAAGCAGCTCCCCAGTGACCCCCTGAGCAACCCGAGTGTGGCCAGGATCACTGGAGCGAGACGCGGCTTCCTGCGCACACCCACAGCCCTCGCGTGCGGCTGCTGCTTCTCACTCCCCTCCCACTCACTCCGTGGACCTACCTATCTTTTCTGAATTTTGGTAGTCCTGAAAATTTGCCAGGTAACAAAGGATGGTGCCCCTCAAGATCTCCAGTCTCTGTGCAGTTTGGCAGGTTCAGCAGTGATTTTCGTTCTGGACTTTCTTCATAGTTTTTGCAGCCAATGCATTTGCAGATAGAGGAGCACATAATTTTGGCCTGGTAATAGAAAGTGCATCAACAGAGTTAGGCTGTCCTATGAAGCTTTGAAGACTCTTTTTTATTTATTTTTATTTTTATTTTTTTTGGGTCCAGTCATGGGGCCTGAACTCTGGGCCTGGGCGCTGTCCCTCAGCTCTTCAGGTCAAGGCTAGAGCTCTACCACTTGAGCCACAGCGCCACCTCCAGCTTTTTACTTTTTGCTTATGTGGTGCTGAGGAATCGAACCCAGGGCCTCATGCATGCAAGGCAAGCGCTCTACCACTGAGCCACCTTCCCAGACCAAGACTCTTTTTTAATCTTAATATTGGCTTGCATTTCTCCCTTGTATGTGTGTGCAGTTGGTAAAGTTCATGTCAAAAACCCAAGAAGAAGGGCTGGGAAGGTGGCTCAGTGGCAGAGGGCTTGCCTTGCATGCTCGAGGCCCTGGGTTCGATTCCTCAGCACCACATAAGCAAAAAGAAAAAAACTGGAAGTGGCGCTGTGGCTCAAGTGGTAGAGCGCTAGCCTTGAGCTGAAGAGCTGAGGGACAGCGCCCAGGACCAGAGTTCAGGCCCCACGACCGGACCCAAAAACAAACAAACAAACAAAAAACCCAAGAAGAGCAGAGGTGGCGACATGGGGAGAGCAAGGTGCACCCCGCATCCTGCTGCAGGGACACGGTGGTGCTGCAGGCGAAAGCGGGGTGAGTCCCGGGGGCTCTGTCTCCTCACTGGGGAAGCAAAGCACCCACCCGACGATGCCTGACGGAGCTCCCCATGCCACGGGAGGGGGGAGGTGTGCTGGACAGTCCCGCCGCCTCAGGGAATGCTGTGGAGCTTGCTGGACACCTTGCTGGACATCCTCCTGCTCCCTCCCAGCAGGTGGACTCTGACTCCGTCCCTCCCAACGCTGCAGTGCAGCTGCGGTGCTCGGGGCAGGGCCTGGACCAGCTGTGCCCACCTCCCTCTTATCCATCAGGCCACTGGGGACAGTGGGTCCCGCTCTGCTGAGCATGGAGCTCCCCTCTGTCCTCCCCGGTATCCAGGCCCACTGTGTGGTAATGAGACCATCTCTAAGCGTGTCTGAGGTCTCTCGGAGGCATTTCTGGGCTTCTCTCTTCTTGTGGTATGGAGTTTGGACTTAACAAGCTAGGCAGCTATTCCAACACTTCATCAAGCCCCAGTTCTTTTTTCCCTAGTTGCTGTTGAGATGGGATCTCGCTTTTTGTCCAAGCAGGCTTGAACCTTGATCCTACCATTTACATTTCTTTTGTGCAGTCCTGGGGCTTGAACTCAGGGCCTGGGGGCTGTCTCTGAGTTTCTTTTGCTCAAGGCTAGTGCTCTACAACTTAAGTCACTGCTCTACTTCTGGCTTTTTGTGATTCATTAGTGTCTCAGGGATGTTTCTGCCCAGGCTGGCTTCAAACCAAGATTCTCCGATCTCAGCCTCTGGGTAAGTAGGATTACAGGCATGAGCCACCCGTGTCAGGCTTTACTCGGCTGTTTTTTTGTTGTTTTTTTCTTTAGGGGTGGGGGGGATCTGGTCGTGGGGCCTGAACTCTGGGCCTGGGCACTGTCCTCAGCTCTTCAGCTCAAGGCTAGCGCTCTACCACTTGAGCCACAGCACCACTTCCGGCTTTTTTCTTTTTGCTTATGTGGTGCTGAGGAATGGAACCCAGGGCTTCAGGCATGCAAGGCAGGTGCTCTTCCACTGAGCCACCTTCCCAGCCCCTTACCCAGCTTTTTCTGATGACATGTGGTCTTGGAATCTTTTCAGGTTGGGCTGGCGGGAACAGAGACTCCCCTGATCTCAGTCTCTGAAGCAGCTGGGATAATGGGCTCACACCCCTGCCCAGCTGTCCTCAAGCCTTTGTGAACAATTCTCAGAACTGTTCAACCTCTGCCCTTTGCCTTCATGCCTCCTTCAGAAAGTACTGGGTACCGCCTGGAGGCTGGGCGAGGGTGCTGTGCTGCCCTCACTCCCCTGATGCCAAGGTACTCACTGCTTCAAGTCTCACTTCAGCAATGTGTTTTCTGTTTTCTCAGAAGCTTTGTGTACTCAGATCACTTAAGAGTGTGTATAGTACTGACAAGACTTCATCCCTGAAGTGTCCTCAGCCTTCTTAAGTCTCTTGTCAAGTCAAGAGCACAGTGAATGTGGGCCAAGATCCAGATGCTGGAGTCAGGGCTTCCTGGAGGGCCACTTTCCCGCCCAGGTGCAGCTGAGAAGCGGAGCACAGTGGCCTCTGGAAGAGTCTCTCCCCATGCTGAGCCAGCTTCCCCGGAGGGGAGGGGGAGGGGATGGGGAGGGGAGGGGAGGGGGAGGGGAGGGGGAGGGGAGGGGGAGGGTCAGGGCTGCCACGGCAGGTGCAGTCGACCCTGTCCTCTCCCTACACTAGGGAAAGGACAAGTGCTCTTGGTCAGCTGCCATCAGTGGGCTCAGGGAGCGCTCCTTGAGGGCATGCTGAGCAGCCCTGGGTGCTGGGTGCTCCTCAGGGCCTCTTCCTAGTCCAGTCAGGGAACATCTGCCTTGCTAGTAAGCCATTTCCGGCTGTGAGCTTCAATAACCTGTGCCTCACACGCTACCTCCATGTGTTTTGTCCGGTCGCTTACAAACCCTTCCTCTGTCTTCACACAGCAGGCTGCGGTGTCACAGCCTGTGTCTCCAGAATGGCCAAGACCCTTCTTCAGCATGATTGTGTGAAACATCTTTTTCCTTCAGAGACAGGGTCCTGCCTTGAACTTGATCATTGTCCTGCCTCAGCTGCCAAGCATTATAGAGGATTATGGCAGTATCACAGAGACACCTACTGCACGTGGTTCTAGAACAACTTTAGAAAAGCCACAGATCCCTAAAGATGTCTGGCAAAACAGGTAGCTCCTTACTGCTTTCCTATAGGGCCTAAGGTCCCCTCGTTTTTTCTTTCTAGAAGAGGGAGATAAAAGAGGAAAGCAAGTGAGTCTACCACCATGAAATTCTGGATTAAAAAAAAAAGCTCTGGGTTTGGATGTGTGGCTCAGTTGGTAGAGCACCAGCCAGTGAGCAATAGCATCAGGTTCTAGACCTAAAAAACAATAAAGAAAAAGGGAAAAAAAGTCTCTGTCCAAGAACAGGTGCTGGCTTTGCTTGCTAGTCCTCCACTCTGGCTTCTGAGACAATGGTGAGACACGCTGGAGTTACCCTGGAAAACGGAGGATGAGGATGCCCTGGCCCACACTCGGAGTGTTCTGTCCCTGCTCAGGATGGAGGGGGCACAGCCACCTCCAGAAGCCACCCGTGGTGGATGGCGGCACAGGCCAGCGTGTGCTGGGCAGCTGCGGGCGCGCGGGCCTCCCACTGAACACACAGGGGCGCTCTGGGAACAGCACAGACTGCAGAGGACTTTCAGCTCGTGTTCTCAACACACAGCTCAGCTCCTAGTTGAGAAATTAATTTGAACTAGTGCGAGAAGCCTTTCAGAAAGCCTGTAAAGAAGAAAGGGATTGGGTTTCTTTCTAGATGTGGTGACGTTTTTCTGACCACAAAATGGACTTAGGCCCAAGTGTGTGCTTGTGCGCTCAGGACCCTGCGGGCGCTGGCCCACCTCATAGCACTCGCAGTAGTTCTTCAGGCAGCCCGACCGCTTGCAGTTGCAGCCCTTGTTGTGCCGTGGCTTGACATCACCCAACTTGCCTTTCCCAATTTTGGGTTGGAAAGCTTCTGGATTTCTATCAAGGCACGCCTAAGAGAGAAAATGGGAAACACTGTAAGACTGTTATTCATAGATGGGTGCAGTGGCCTATGACTGTAACTCAGCTCATGGAGGAGCATCACGAGGTCAAAGCTAGCCTAGACTACATAGTGATGCCTTGTCTTAAAAAAATTATAAACATAAGCTGGGCACTCGTGGCTCAGGGCTGTAATCCTAGCTTCTCAGGAGGCTGAGGTCTGAGGATCACGGTTCAAAGCTAGCCTGGGCAGGAAAGTCTGTGAAACTCTTATTTCCAATTAACCACCTAAAAGCTGGAAATGAAGCTGTGGCTCAAATGGTAGAGCGCTAACCTTGAGCAAAAGAAACTCAGGGATAGTTCCCAGACCCTGAGTTCAAGCCCTAGGACCAGCACACTCACACACATGCACACACACATACACATGCACGCACACACGCACACACGCACAAAGATTGAAAAAGAAAATAAAGCAGTGTTTTATGATTCAGACTCAGCTGAACCAGCTGCTGTTTTATGAGGAGCAGACGGGGAGAAGGAGCCCCTGGCGCAGCTAGGACGCGCATGCTCCCTGTCTCTGCCATCCATTTCCACACAGAGCCTGATGCAGCCACGGTTTCTTCACAAATACCTTTTTCTGAGCTTCAAACTCTTGCATATTTACCATAGAAAATAAAGATGCAGACAGTAAGGAGCAGATCACTGCTCACATGAGGGAGTTCTCCAAAAGACATCTTGTACCATCTTCCTAAGGCCACTGAGACCAGCACCAATGGGCCATGACTGAATGGGCCATGTTCCAGGCACCATGACTGAACACGCCTTGTCCCAGCACCTTTCTCCGTGACTGGTATTTCTCATTGAGCTTTGGCAGCAATCTTGGAAGGTAAAAGGTGCTACACTTATCACGCTTACAGATAAGGAAACTGAGTCACCCACAGGCCAGCTAACCCCCAGAGAGCAGCACAGCCTAGTGTCCAAGTTCCCCTGCAGACTCCAGAGCACAGGCTAAAATCACAGGGCCACGCCCGTGTAGTGCACACCACCGATCAGGTTGGGTTTGTTTCCCTAGGGTTCTAGGAATGGTTTCTAGGGCCTAGGGCTCACCACTGAGCTACCCGAGTCTTGTGAGCATGACATTTCATCCTGGTTTATCCTTGTTGGCCTGTCTTTCCCTTTCCCTTTCCCTCCTTCCTTCTTCCCTTGCTTCCTTCCTTCCTTTCTTTCTTTCCTTCTTTCTTTCTTTTTCCTTTTCTTTTCCTTTCTTTCCTTCCTTCCTACTTTCCTTTCTTCTTTTCTTTTCTTTTTTTTTCCTTCCTTCCTTCCTTCCTTCCTTCCTTCCTTCCTTCCTTCCTTCCTTCCTTCCTTCCTTCCTTCCTCCCTCCTCTCTCTTTTCTGACATAGGGTGTGAACTTAAGACCTTGCACTTGATAGACTTGTGCTCTGCCACTTGAGCCACAGCTCCAATTTTTTTCCCACAGCATTTAGGTGGTTAATTGCAAATAAAATCTTCACAGACTCTCCCTGCCCAGGCTGGCTTCAAATCTTTTTTTTTTTTTTTTGCTAGTCATGGGGCCTGAACTCTGGGTCTGGGCACTGTCCCTCAGCTCTTCAGCTCAAGGCTAGCGCTCTACCACTGGAGCCACAGTGCCACTTTCGGCTTTTTCTGTTTATGTGGTGCTGAGGAATCGAACCCAGGGTCTCATGCTTGCAAGGCATACACTCTACCACTGAGCTACCTTCCCAGCCCCGTGGCTTCAAATCTTGATCCTTAGATCTCAGCCTCCTGAGTAGTTCAGATTATAAGCATGAGCTGCTGACCCCTGGCTCCTGGCTATAACTTCAGGAAAGCAAGTGCTGGGTCATAGTCTAGACAAAGATTTACCTGTTACTAGCTATTTGCCAAACATGTTTCCAAGTAGCCATACCAATATATAGTCCTATCAGCAATGCATAGAAATTCTAACTTCCAAAATAAAACTTTTGCTCTATATTTTACCTCAAAATAAATTGTGACTCTTCTGAAGTCACTTAGATGCAGCCTAAGTTTCCTCTGTCATATGGGTCTGGCTAAAGCAAAATCAATATCCTGAGCGATTATCCCATAACTCAAGAGAGAAATTACTTTAGGGAAAATAAACAAACCAGCAATGGCACACCATTGGTCCCATTTGCATGGGCGGGGCTCGGGCCCTCAATTTCCCCTGACAGCTCCTGGCTGTCACCCCCTCCCCATGGAGGTCTTCCTGTTCCCGGAAAGGAGGATGGGCAGGCTCCAGTGGCTTGAGCCTCCAGCAGGGAGGTCTTGAGCACACGGAAGTCCGTTGTGCTTCAGGATAGTCCATTCCTGTCTCCACCCTCGGCTGCTCACATGTGAGGCTGAGTGTGTCGTGTTGAGGAAAATGAGGCCTGGTAAGGGAACTCAGAAACGCGCATTTAGAAACGCAGAAGCACTATCTCTGCTTCAAAGAGAGACAACATGACGTACTCCTTCCTGAGAGCTATTTGGTGGGGTATATGCCTTCCTGACAGAAATGCTCCCCAAACGCCAAGCAACCCAACGGCAAACAAGAGCCAAGAACTTAGAAATAACACCAAGAGTGACTGAGAACAAAGACTTCCCCCGCTTTACCACATAAACACTCCTGACAGCCAAAGAGCTGTGTGTCTCTCCCTTGGAGAGCACTACTGTCAGAGTGTGTCCCTGCCTTCCTGCCTGTCCGTCTGCTTGCCTGCTTGCTTACGTACTCACTAACGCTCTGCCAAGTTTTCATACCATTGTGACTTGTCCAGAAATTCTTATTCTGCAATCAAGGTCAAGGACCCTAAGTGAAGTCTCTACTTTTTGTTCTTGTTCTTGTTGGTTTTGGTTGTGGGGCTTGAACTCAGGGCCTGGGCACTGTCCTTGAGCCTCTTTGTGATCAAGGTTATTAGTGCTCTACTATTTGAGCCACAGCACCACTTCCAGTTTGGGAGTGGTTAATTGGACTGAGTCTCTACTTTTAAAGGGAAACGTTACTAACCTTCACCTGCTTCTAGTGACACTATCTTTGTGGAGGATCGTCTCTCTTTCCCATATTACCACTACCACTCAAGCTACTCAGCCCAAGTCACCAAACCCCAAACCAAACTAAGCAGACTTGTACGTGTTTCTGAATGAGAATCCTGAAACTACCCAGTGCTGGCAGGGGATAAAGATCTTTGCCTGTTCCTTGTAATGGTACCACATGTCAATAACAGGACCAGAATCAATGTATGTGCTCTTCAACACTTTGGCTTTTCCCAGTAATGAAATGAGGGATCTCTGGAGATCATTTTATGAACATCACTTTTTTTTTTTTTTTTTTGTCAGTCGTGGGACTTGAACTCAGGGCCTGGGCGCTGTCCCTCGGCTTTCACTCAAGGATAGTGCTCTATCACTTTGAGCCACAGCGCCACTTCTGGTTTTAGGGATTTGTTGTTGTTGTTTTTTGGAGTTTTTTTTTGGGTGGTTAATTGGACATAAAAGAGTCTTATGGATGTTCCTGCCCAGGCTGGCTTTGAACTGTGATCCTCAGAGCTCAGCCTCCTGAGTAGCTAGGATTCCAGGCTTAAGCTACCAGCCCTTGGCTTGAACATCTCACACATTTTAAAATGCTTTTAAAATTGATTACCTTAATGGCTTTAAACCGTTCGATTTCATGGCGCAAATTGTTGCAACAATTATTACAATTGCAGTTGTTGCAAAAGTCTCCACTGGCAAAGCAGTCGCAGTACCTGTGAAGAGAACAGCAGCGTGAGTTCCAGGCCTGGCGGCTGGAGGTCAGGGAGGAGGCACACAGGCAGGAAAGGGACCGCACCACGCCGCCGGCACAGCAACTTCACTCAGGGGCTGCCTTCTGGCTTCTTGTTTATATGAAAAGTAGGTCAGTAGGGATACTGTCTTGCTGTGTCTAAGCCAGAAAAAGAGAAACTAGCTAAACTGTGGTGTACAACACAGGATTTTGCAAAACTTAAACCAACATCCTGGAAGATGTCCACGGCTTCCAGCCCCAGTGTCCTGTCATTTCCCCTGAAGCACATAAGCTAGTGAGTAGGGTTTATCAAAGAATAACTGAAGGGGAAGAGTAGACACACAGGATCCCCGAGCGAGTGGGAGAGGAGGAGGAGAGGCCTGGGTGAGGCATGGTGTCCTGCAAGGGCTGCTCACCCTTGGAGACCCTCATAACAGCTCTGTGACTGCAACGCTGTGAGGAGGTCCACGGGCCCTGTGGCTCCTCTCCCACTTACTGCTCCCCTCCCCCATCAGACGCCCATGCTGCGCACAGAGGTATCCACAAGCTGGGCTTACTTTTCTCAATGTGGGAAAACACCCAACGTCAGCTTTGAGATAGGGACTCCTGAGACCCTGCCTACACCTGCACTGCCAGCAGTGCCAGGAAGCCCACCAGCCACTCCACGGCTTCCGTCTGTGGGGAGGAAGGGAAGAGTGTGAGGAATCGACCTTCTAGCTCTGCCACTGCTCCCCACGTTGTCTGGTACAGGTGATCACCTGGGAAGAAGGAACCTGCCTTTAGCCTGCCAGTGTGGGGGAAACACAGATGGTGAACTGAGTGAACCGATGTCCTCACCACAGTGGATACAGGAAGACCCTGTGCCTGGCACTCGGGGGACAAGATGTCTGCAGAACCCTCGGTGGGGGTCTTGGGCACAATTCATAGTGTTCCGTAATATTGGTTAAACGCGTGTCAAGGCAGCAGGAGAACCTTGATCAGGAGAGGCCCGCAGAGAGGCCAGCAGAGAGGCCAGCAGAGGGGCCCGCAGAGAGACCTGCAGAGAGACCAGTAGAGAGGCCAGCAGAGAGGCCAGCAGAGAGGCCCGCAGAGAGGCCCACAGAGAGGCCCGCAGAGAGGCCAACAGAGAGGCCAGCAGAGAGGCCCACAGAGAGGCCAGCAGAGAGGCCCACAGAGAGGCCCGCAGAGAGGCCAGCCTGTAGCCTAGGTAGTCCTGGCACCTAGCTCCCCGGAGACTCAGAGCTTGCCTACACACAAGCTGTTTAGACAGGAGAAAGGGGACAAAGTTTGGGCTATGAAAGGTGAGTTAGGCCAGAGTACCCCCATCTAAATGACGATGCCTGAAGGGGGCTACCTGCTGGGGGACTGGAAACAGGCAAGGGAAGAATGGAGCCGCTGAGAGTGGCTCAGGTGGTAGAGCACCAGCCAATAAGCGAAAGCATTAGCTACTGAGTTTGAGTCCCAGTTTCAGAAACTTAAAAAAAAAAAAAGGCAAGAATAGAAACAGTTGGCTGGGGAGATGGCTCAGTGGTAGAGCACGTGCCTTGCATGCATGAGGCCCTGAGTTCGATTCCTCAGCACCACATAAGCAGAAAAAAACAGTCAGAAGTGGCGCTGTGGCTCAAGTGGTGAAGAACTGAGGGACAGCGCCCAGGCCCAGAGTTCAGGCCCCACAACTGGACCAAAAAAAAAAAAAAAAAAGAATAGAAACAGTTGATCTTTGGGGCACCACACAGGTCTTTCATGGGCTGCCAGGATGGAAAGAAGGGAGGAGATAGTGACAGGAGGTGTAACGGTGGGAAGTGGGCATGGGACTGGGGTGCTGTAGTGCGCGAAGGGCAGAGGAGAAGCCCTGCATCAGCAGGAAGAGCCGAGAGGCAGCTTTGGGCACTGATGGGGCAGGTGAGGGGTACACCTGAAGGGCTCAGAGGAGCCAGGGTTGCCCCTTTGTGCAGCAGGCCCCGAGTCCACAGCCCTCTCTGTACCTGGCACTGGTGATTCCTACCACCACGTGGCAAAGCTTAGCAAGCATCTCTGGGTACAATGATGGAAGAGTGGGGTGCTGCAATATGAAAAAGGCAGGAGGCGAGGCCCTCAGTTTCTTTTCCTATTCAGCTTCTGAAATTCCGGCAAGAGGTAGGTGAAGCCAGCCCAAGAGAAAATACCTAGAGAGGCTGACGCTGGGTTCCCAGCATGGCTGCAGCCCCTCACCCTGAAGCCTCTGTGAGCCCAGCCAGCCCACGCCTCACCCGCCACATGAGCAGAATCACCCCCCAAAGCCAGCAGACAAGCAAGGGACCTCCCATGTGACGGACAGGCTACAGAAGCACTGGCTGTTGAGGGGATGGGAGGGAAGAAAGCTAGGAGGGAGACACGCCTGCGGCCTGAGGAGATCAAACCAGGGCTGAATTCCTCATAAGAACAAGACACAGGAAACACAGCCTCTGAAGAAGATATTCTAGAAAATAACTGATCACAGAGATGAACATTTTTTAAGATTTACATAAACTAGAATCAATAAAACATAAAAATTGATAGACGGCAGCAGCAGGTCAGACCAGAAGCCCCACCATATAAAAAACAAAGACTTCCAGAAAGAGAGCTCTAGGAAAGAAGGGGAAAGGTAATGTAAGCTCATACCTAGCACTGAACACAGTAGTGAGCTCAACCTAGATGTCGCATCTTTATATTTGGGTGCCAGGGGGAGTTCAGGCCCATTACTTAGGGTTATTGAGGCAAATGTTAAAAGAACTGAAGGTTTTGAAGGAGAGGAAATGAAGAAACACTGCCAGAGAAATACTTTTGGTCATAAAAACTGTACAATAAATGGGTTTTTTAAACTGTATATGTGATCTACATACACCTAGGTAAACTAAGAAAGAGAGAATAAAATTAATTAGAGATAAGAGTTCCACAGACTTTAGTGTCTAGGCTTGGCTTCAAATCATGATCCTCAAATCTTAGAGTTCTGAGTCCTCGGATTACAGGTGAGCCACTGGTGCCCAGCTTTAATGTGTTTTCGATCTATGATAGTTTCAACTTGCGCCAGGTTTCCTGGGACACAATGGGGAGCATCATGTAAATAGTGAACAGAACCGCTGCCTTTCTGGTCTGAGGTCCAGCTACCCTACTCTCTCTCTCTGTCACAGGGAAGGTTTTGCACTGCTGTCTCCCTGCTTGGAACCTTCTGGGCAGCTCTTCCCACTCACCTTGACCTAATGAACTGTCTTGGCAAAGCCCTTCACTGCCACACTTTCTCAACACACCTGCCAAGTACTTGGACGCAGTTGTGCGACCGGCTCACTGGTGCTCTCCCTGTGCCTACAATCATGGCTGTTCCAAAGAATTTGTGCCATGAACAGATCTGTGGGTAAAAAACTGCTAGCACACGCTTCCCTCGTGCCACCAGCCCTGCCTGAGCAGGCCCCCTCCTGTCTGACCCACGCCTAGGGAAGGAAGCAAGCCGCTGGACTGACCTCACCTCAGTTCCCCTGCTTCACCATCAGTGCAGATTCCCCAAACCACTTGTGAGGCAAAAAGAAGCCAAGAGAAAAGCAAGGCGGACCATGCGCTCCAGGCAGCAGTGCAAGTCGTGCCCCTGCTGTGGAAGACAACGCGGTTCTTCAAAATGTTCTGCATGGACTGATCCAGCGATCACGCCTGGGTGTACCCCAAACAACTGAAGGCAGGCTAGGCAGACACGTACCCCAATGTTCACAGCAGCACTGGAGACAACCCGTGTCCACCAACAGAACATATTGTAAAATGTAGTGTGAACAATGGAAAAATTAGTGAAGCACTGCCGCGTGCTGCAACACGATGGTAGCTTGGAAACAGAAGCCACAAAAGAGCAGACCCAGGGGATCCCACTCATGTGCGGTTGCTGGAAGAGACAATTCAGAGACAGACAGTAGAACAGAGGCGCCAGGAGCCAGGGAAAGGGACTGGGCTGGTGCAAACTCCTGGGAGTGGATGGCGGTGGGCGCTGTCAGCATCCAGCGCGTCTTTATTTATTCAGTTTGAGGCAGGGTCTCACTATACAGCCAAGGCTGTCCTTGAGCGTTCAGCCCTCTCACCTCGGCCCTGAGCGTTTAGGATGACAGGCGTGAGCCACCAGACAGCTGTGCACGTCTTAGTAACACTTAATCACACACTTACAAAGGGTTACAACAGTCGATTTTATGTAATAACTTATTTTACCACAATTTTTAAAAGCAGGGAGCAGAGAAGAATAAATGGAAGGCTGCCATTTACATGAAAAAACTTAAATGGTTAAAATTTAAAACTTGAAAAATAAGATGGCACAAAACAAGTCCAGCTATACCAATAATTACATGAAAATGCCAACAGGTGAAAGAAAACCATTAAAATGGATTATTTGCTTTTTAAAATCCAGCTATGTTTAATGTAAAGGAGACACACCTGTAACCAACACATAAAAAGGGCATCTGAGTGGCAGTGGGCAGTGTTGGCTGAAAACCACTCATGTTAGACAAAGAGCCTAAGGCAGAAGCATTGGGGTACAAGGCATAACGATGAACACTGGTGGGAGGGTCATCAAAAAGACATTAACAAACAGCTGTGCCCCTCCATTTGACAGACTCAAAATAAACACCCCAAACTGGTATTGGAAATGGAATGTAAGAAACAAACAAGCTTACAACTTTAAGTAAAAGATCTTAACACTTATCAAAAATAGAAAGAACACATATATTTAACAATCATTTACTATATTTAAACAATAAAATTAACAGATGAGCTAAGGGATAGATAACTGTACCCCAATGAATAGAGAATATATATTTTAATTAACAAATATTTCCAAAATAGATTAAGGATTATAGAGGAAATCTTCATTAACTTCAAAGAACTGTAACATACAAGATAACACTATCTGACTAGTATAATTTAATTTAAAAATTAACAATAAGTATGTAGTTTTAAAGTACATAAAGGGGTGACATTGTCCAAAAAAGAAATGTG